GTTATATATATTTTTTCTGTTATTTTCTGTTTCAAAATGTTATTTTCTGTTTCAAAATTATGTTCAAACTCTATAGCATAAGGATAGAAGTGGTAGTAGAGGTATGTAAGGTACATTATTTCTGATGAAAACAGTTTTCTTCTGGGAAAATATGAACATTACAAAAGTAGTAGAATTGATGTGTGATGTTTCATGAATTGCTTATGTCCTAAGTATCTGCTAATGTTTTTGGAGTTCAATTATAGAATGGCAGAATGATAGAACTTAGAAATCTATTTCACCATTAATAATAAAACCTAATAAAGAGAATTCACTAAGGGTACTAAGCACTTTAGTTCTCTTAGTGGGCTCTTATCCCATAGAGAAGAAAATGAGCCACAACACCGGTATATTGAGTGCTTGAAGGAAGCAGCTCCATGGCTGGAGCTGGCAGCGCCCCACGCACCGCACTGTCTCGGCCCCACAAAACAAGCAACGAGAAGCAGCGCAAGCAGACAACTGGGTTCTAACTACTCACTTCTGTTCTCGTCAGTTGTAGTTTCCACATTACCTCCCTACTTGCTATATTTCTAAAATATAATTCATGAAATAACAAAGCGACAAAAGCTGTAGGAATCACAAGTGTGCAGATCAACAGGTCTTCACAAATCCACACCCAAAGCTGAGTGTGCAGATGAGGGACTGTAAACCTCCGCCCACAGGGCAAATTCAGTCCAATATGTGGCTTGATACAGAATATGTTATTGGAACACGACAACGCTCATTTATTTGCATAGTGTCTGTCACTGCTTTTGCACTATAACAGCAAGTTGAGTAGCTGTGATAGAGATCTTGTGGCTTGCAGGGCCTGAAATACTCCCTGTTGACACACACAGAAAAAGTGCGCTGCCCTGTGAGCTAGATCAAGCAGCAGAATATCACGAGTCCCATTCAAGGTTGTCCCATTTGTCATTCCCTCTCTGGTCACCGTGCTGGCTTCCAGCACTCTAGACTGATTTGCCTCTTGGGCATCTATGTAACTGGAATTGTCGCGCGTGTACTTTGGAAGCTGATCGCTTTCATTCAATAGCATGCTTATGCCACTCTTCTGTGTTGCCACTGGTAGTAGCATTGCCCTTTCATTGCTGTCTAATGCTCCTAGAATGTAAACCTGAAGCCAGCTTACGAGGCATGTGCAGCCTGTCCTCGGTATCGATCCCTAGTTCTCCTTTTAGTCATGTAGGCGTTTTATATTTCCATCCCGAGATGTGCTTCAACTTTCTCCCCTCCCCGCCACCACTCCCAGTTGCTGCACCGCCCCCACAGCATGAAGTACGTTCCTGAGCACCTGTCAGGTTTAGTGCACTAGACACGTGCATTTTACCTAAAGTCAAACCCTCTAGGAAGCTGGACTCAGAAAAAGGCAAATTTAGTTGTGAAGATGCAGGCATCGGTACCGCAGCAGAGGTGCTCCTCCGAGGCCAGCTGCCTATAGCAGGAGAGCACCAGTGTTTGTGGTCTTCCTACTGGTGAGAGACGCTGGGGCTGTTCCCAGGTGTGGGCTCTTTAAGTAACTGCTTTGAACATTTTGGTAAATTTATTTTTGGTTGGTGGTAGATTCATTGCTGTTTTGTTTCTGATGCCAGGAGTTGAACCTAGGGCCTTTGCTGTGAGCCACAACTCCAGCCCTTTGTTATTTTTGATTTTGAAACAGGATTTTATTCAATCCCTAAGTTGCCAATGACGTACACATATTGCTATGAGGAACTTATGTAGCAGTGGAGTTACAAGGCCACGCGATGTGTGTTGGTTCATGTGCTGTAGAGAACTGGAAACAATTTTTTTTGTTGTTTTTTCTAAGTTTTATTGATAAACAGATAGCAATGAGACAGTTTCAAATCCAATCGGAAGTACAGTTTCAACAAATAATACACTGCATATATTCTTCTTAGTGGTTAATTGTGAAAACAATTTTTAATGCCATATACTTTCTTTTTTTTTTTTTTTAATGGAATAAGGTTTTTTTTTTTTTTTTTTTTTTTTTTTTTTTTTTTGCTCCGAATGCCTTCAGGGCAGGTTTGGCTGGCTGGAGTTGTGGGGATCGAACTCCAGCAACCTGAGGCTGACAGCTTTGTGGAAGCAGCCACTTAAAGAACTGAGCCAGGGCCGGGCCCCCAATGCCATATACTTTCAAAAACTGTTACAGTGTGTTTAAATTTTAATCATTCTAGTTGGTATACAGTAGTGTTTAATTGTGGCTTTAATTTGCAATCTCATGACAGCTGATCCCGTTTTCCTATGCCTATGCTCATTAGGATGCTGTCTGTGGTGAGTTGCCACGCTCTTGTAGTGTTTCTTTCTCTTATGAACTACAGAAGTGACTCCCGCGGTCAGGGTGTGTCCTTGTAGGATTCTTACATTGCTAGTAGCCTTGCCTGCTCTCTGGCTTAGTCTCTCACTCTCTTAACGGTATCTTGAACAGAAGTTTCAACTTGGATCTTCTTTAAGATTGGTTCTAGATAAATTTGGGATAGGATTTCCAAGTCTGAAAAACTCTTACTGAGATCTTAGTTGGAATGAGATTGAACTCTTAGAGCAACTTAAGGAAAACCGCTACAGTTTCACTGCATGAACATGGTACGTTCCTGCACTTGCCTTCCTGCGTTCCTCTCAGCAGCATTTTGTAGATTTTTTAAGCCAGAAATTTTGGTAATTTAGATTTATTCTGAGGTACTTTTTATGTTTGTTCATAAGGGGCTTTTTTGTTTTAATGTATTTGCACAGGGTCTTACTACGCAGCTCAGACTTGTAGTGATCCTCCTGTTTCAACCTCCCCAGCACTGGGATTACAGGTGTGCGCCACCATGCCGGGTCTTCGTGGCTGGCTCAGCACGCCCCAGGATGGGGGGCACAGTGCAGCATGTGGTGCCCAGAATGGAAACCGGGTCCCACACTTGCCTCAGCAGGTGCTTAGACCACTGAGCTATCACGCTGGATTTTTTTTTTTTTTTTAAGAAAGGTGTTTGCTGTTTTTTTTTGTTTTTTGTGCCAGGAATGAACCTGGGGTCTAAGATATTCTGCACACACCCTCTACACTGAGCTACTCCCACTCCAATTTTATTTCCTAATGTTGTTGTTAGTGTATAAAATTATATTTTTTTTAGTTTTGTTTTGTATTTTGTTGTCTTTTTGAGACAGGGTCTCACTATTCAGTTCATGCTGGCCTTGAGCTCACTTTGTAGCCCAGGCCAGTCTCAAACTCAAAGCAATCCTCCTGCCTCAGCCCCCCAAGTGCTGGAGTTGCAAGGGTGAACTATTATTGGTTTTTATGTTGTCCTTGTATCACACAAATCTGCTGAAGTCAATATTAATAATAATTCTTTCTAGATTTTTTATATCTCTAATCCTGTCATCTACAAATACTTACTTTACATTTTCTTTTCTAATCATTACAACTTTTTTTATTTCTTGTCTAGTTGCCAAGATCATCCATATAGTGAATAAAATTGGTTACACTAGACAGTCCTCCTCCTGATGTGAGGGAGAGAGTGTCCAATATGTTGCAGAAAGTGTGTGGTGCTACCTGTGTGTGGGTATACATGTTTTATTAGGTAAAAGAAATTTCCTTATGTCTCTAATAGGCTGACAGTTTTATCCTGAATAGCTAATAAATTCTATCAAATATATTTTTCATTTCTATTTAAATAATAATGTGGCTTGTCACTGATTGTTTTGGATGTCAAAGTTACTAAACAAACCTAGCCAACTGGAAAAATCATTTCACTTAGTAGTGACATATACATTTGCTTTCTTTAATTGCCATCGAACTTGCTGATCTATTGCCAATTATATTTATATATAATTTTATGGATGCTATACTATAGCTTTTCTTTCTTGCAACATTTGTTTCAAAGTTTGATTATTATGATAGACTTCTTTGGGTAACCTGTCCCCATTTTTATTTTCTAAGTTTAGGTACAGCTACTGATATTTCTTACATATATAGAACAATTCACCAGCCAAGTAAATTAGAGTGAAATTTTCTTTATGAAAAGGTTTTAAGTAGTATATTTAGCAGTATTATACTCTTTACTTATATCCAGATTTTATTTTTGTTCTAGTGCTTATTTTGTAAAGCTGTGTTTTGCAGTAAACTTGCTTATTATATCTAAATTTCCAAATCTAGAAGCATGAAATTGCTTATAACATCCTCTTATTAATCCCAGTGGACATAAGGTGTACAGCATAAGGTTTTACTCATAATTTTATTATGTTGTGTTTGTCTCTCTTCTCTTTAACCTTCTGGGTAGAAGTCTATTAATCTTTTCAAGAAAACAACTTCAAGCATTGGTAACTTCTCTCTGTTATACATTTGCTTTCTGGTTCATTAATTTCTTATCTTTATCTCCTTAATTTACTTTCTTTGAGCTTAATTTTCTCCTTTTTTCATCATCTTGAGATGGAAGCTTAAATTGCTGATTTTCAACTTTTTGTATTTTCTAGTAGAAAAGAATAGAGAAAGAATAAGGAAAGGCGTGAGTGGAAGAGATTACATCTGAGAAACAGTAAATAGAAAGAAAGCGCATCAATGTATTTAAAGATAAAGCAATTCAAAGGACTCAGTTAATCTGTGGACTGAAATGGCTTGCAAGCATCAACTGAGAAGGGCAAAACCGTTAGAGTGATATTACTTGCATTCCATGCACATCAAGGGTCATTTATTACGACGTGTGCAACGAACATAAACAGGTGAGCCAGAAGGGCTTGCCACGCTCACGGCGGTGGGCATCTGTGGCGGGCAGGAGACCCCTCAAGAGAAGAGGTACAGAGCCTTCAGTACCCTCTCTGTACTTTGCTCATCTCTAAAACGTATGCGGCAAGTATGACAAAATGACATGAGGCCTGGTAGTAATTTTTCCACAGGTATGTGGAAATCTGTCAGCCGGCTCTCTGTGCTCTTTCATACCTTTAAGTTTTTCCAACTTTTTTCTGTTTTTATTTATTAGTCACGTGCGCAGGGCATACTGGCACGTTTCTGTGTGAGCGGGGCACGGACACAAGTGACCTTCCTTCCCCTCTTCCCCGCCTTCCTTCCCTCCACCTCTTGGTCCCCTCCCCCTGGGAGAAAGCAAATGAGAGCTAAGCTGCGTGTCTGACTTGTTCCAGTCGGCAGCACGGCCTCAAGAGGCGCTCGTGCCTGCGCTTCCTCAGGTCTGTCCCTCCGCGCACCATGACAACCCCTCCCTGGACGCACGAAAGCAGCAGCCGGAGGGCATCACAGCAAGACCAGTAACTTCCGGTCACATCTGCGCTGTAGGAAAGCCACCGGTTGGCCTCAGCATAGAGCAGGATATTGAGCTGCAAGATTAAGTCTGTTAGATACCAGATACGCAAAACCTTTAAAAGGACCCAAACACGTTTTCTTTTTTCCTTTTTGTCTTGCAGATGTTTGCATTACAAACTCCATGTCAGTGAGTCTTGAGTTTGTCCATCTATAGCGCCCAGTATGCTCAGTGACTGTGAAAATTATCCCTACCAGTTTTGTTTCCACCTGATAGGTTCTCTTCGCTTTTCTGGTCTTACTTTCCTCGTAATTACATATCAGTCACTGGACCATCTTGTTCGGTCTCTGACCAAGTTGCTTCCGTGACACAATCACTGTAGTGAGGGTGTAGAAAGTAGAAGCAGAAAGAATCTGCCTTCCTGCCTGCTGGAAGCCCTCAGCAGTAGGGAAAGGCGTTCAGCCTTCCAATCAAGCCAGGGTTGGTTCTTTTTATTATTAATTTTGTTGAGAAACAAATAGCAATGAGACAGTTTCAAAACAGGTTAGTAGGACAGTTACAATAATTAATACATTGCATATTGTTGTCTTTGTAGTAATTATTCATAGTATGAGATGCAGACATAATATTCTGTCCAAACAGTACAAATCTTTCTTCTCATTGAATTAAGAAAAAGTAGCTGTATATCTATCCTATTTTGTATATACAAAATGGTCCTTCATTTATATCCCCCTTTTTTGTTTAGTTTTGTCAGAGATGGATATTCCTTTGCCATTTAAATATCATAGGTGCGTGAATTCAGCAAAATAATCCAATATAGTCCAGTAGTCCATAATAGTAGTGGGTTATCCGTAGGACTGGCAATGTTATGTCTAAGATGTTTGATATTCAGGCAGATAGGGCTAGTTCTAAGGTGGTTGAGAGTTGAGAGGACCAGAGACGGGGCAGCACTGCCGGAAGGCTCCAGAAGAGGGCGCGTTTGAGCCGGCCTTGGGAGGAAGAAGAGCGTTTCATCGGGGTATCTACTGAGACTTTAAGAGCTGTGTGAGTCAAACCTGAAGTCTAGTAAGGCCACAGTAAAGGCTTGCTTGGGAGCCCTAGCTGGAGAACAGTGGGTATGTGGACACGAGGCTTGGCAGCTTGCATGGAATGAAGCCACTGAGATCCTTGAACGGCGTGGTGGGTTGGCATTTACTGCAGAGGACGCTGTGGGTCCGGAGATGAGGAGCGGTGAGTGGGCTGGAGCACAGCTTCGCACACTGACAGCCGAGTGTGTGAGGCCCCGAGGGGGAGAGCCAGGCAGGAAATCAGAGCCTGAGCTGACGTCGGGGCAGTGGAGACAGAGGGAGACGAGAAGGTGGCGGGGAGACCTGGAACCTTAAGGGTTCTGGAGGCTGGGCCAGCCCAGGTCTTGTGTGGGTGCGAGAGGAGCAAAGAGAGGAAGGACGTGGAGGGAAAAGAGCTTTGCTAGGGCTTTGTGGCATCAGAATGACTTATGACTGCAGGTGCTAACGCTGAGCCCTTGGGTGAGGCGATGTCTAGCAGGTTTTCCAATGTAAAGATATGGTCCGCCCCATGCAGTTAGTAAGTGTCATGGGAGAACACAGAATGCACAAATACCCAGCTTTCTGCAGTGTTCCTCCCCCTACTCATTGGAGCGTTCCTCCATAGTTCTTCCCTGCTGTGATATCTAGTAGTAATTCCCCACTTCCATCGTGCCTTCTATGTTTGTGAATTAGAAGTCTACCATGAGGAAGAGCTAGGCCTTCTCCTCCACCTACCTGTCATCTACTTGTGTCTCTATTTTTGTATCCGTGTTTATATCAGCATGGGTTTAACTTAGCCTTGCAGTTACGAGCTGATGTTCTCAGTACTTATTTTGCTGTACAGATCACTCCAGCTCTGGCCATTAGGAGTGTGCTCAAGTTTGTCCTCTGTCCTGTCACATGTGCCCAGAACTCTTAAGCCTTACTTCCTTATTTTCTGACACCACAAAACATTCCGGTCTCGTCCTGTGCTTCATTACCCCACATTGGAATGAGACTCACCATGGAAGTATAACCTGTGAGAGAACGGTAACCAGAAAACAACATCCGGGTCCTACGTTGTTGCCTGAGGCTCATTGTTCCCAGAATGCCCCTGCCTCTGGTCCAGGGAGTCCCCTTTGACCAGTGGGTCAGCCATCTTTTCACAAGAGAAGTCTCTGCAATTCTGTGTTGACAATGACATATGTAGATTATCATCCTTATGAAAACAGTCATGGAAAACCAACTTCTTTTTTGTTCTTTCCTTTTTAATTCCTTAGTTCTCCAGTTTGGATTCACAACTATCTTTGTGGCAGCTTTTCCCCTAGCACCACTTCTGGCCTTACTGAATAACATAATTGAGATTCGACTTGATGCTTACAAATTTGTCACACAGTGGAGGAGACCGCTAGCTTCAAGGGCCAAAGACATAGGTAAGCTGGATTTGGATCTGTTTGTTAGCCATTCTGTGGGTAAAATTTCAGAAAATACCAGCTGTAAGTTTTTCTTATCATTTCCTTGTAAGATAGTGCAACTAATTTATGCAACAAGTAATTCTATTAATTTTAAAATAATATTAGTCTACAAGTAAAGCTGTCTATGAGGAAATTTATAATCTCCAGTACAAGGAAATTTGTGCTTCAGTAGCTTCTCAATGTGGTTATTGCTGTCTAAGACGTTTGAATCTAAATATTTGTTGTATTATTGCTTTTTGAAATAGATCTTCCACTTGGCTTACCTTTGCTTTGCACTGTCCTAAATGTGTCCCTGGTTCACACGAAGCAGAAGTCAGTTGTCCTAAGAGTGGAGAGTGCTCTGGGGTCAGTGAGTCAGACGCGGGCCCCTCGGAAAGCTTGCTGAGGTCAAGGCTGGTCGTTGACCCATGTGGGCCGGTGCTGAGGGCAGAGCAGGCGGTGCTCAGTGTGTGCTCAGCGTGTGTCAAGGAGGAGTGATGGGGTCCTTCCCTAGTGACTGTGAGCTCCCAGGTGAAACGAGCCAGGAGGATAAGGAGGATGCTGTCCATACCCTTTAGGGGAGCCTGTAACACACAGGGGTGACGGGGAGCCAGCAGAGATCACCAGGCTTGTGAAAAGGCAGTGCAGCATGGAATTTATTGTGCGTGGGTGCAGGCAGAGAGCGCAATAAGACCATCTTCCCCCACCAAAAAGAACTGTCTCTTTTACAGAGACATTGAGAAGACGGGGTGCTGTGCAGGAAGATTCCAATGCACATCTGTGGTCGGGGCTTTTTGTCAATCTTGCATCTCACTGGGCAGAGACCTTTGACGTGTCTGATGTAAATTTTAGGGTAACTCTAAATATCCTCGGTTGTCCTAGCAGCTGCAAAATGTGCTGTCCTATCTTATCTCCTTTCCTGTGCCATGGCGGGGATCTCAGTGAAGTCCACTGCCGAGGGCAGCGCTTCTGCTGGCAAGCAGGCTGGGGCTGGTCGGATCCCTGCAGAGCCTTACACAGTCTGGTCTGGTGGCGGCTTGACAGAGAGTGCCTGTCACTAGGTGCTGCTCTGCAGCCTTACCGCTGGGCAGCCTTCTCTGAGTCCTGTGTGACCCCGGCCATTTAGCCATATGCACACTGGCCTGTGGCAGAGTCTCCTTCGATGCCAAGGAGCCTGGAAGCACTGGTTGCAAGGCTCTGTATTTGGAAAGAGGAACAAGCCGTAGGAGGAGCTATCAGAAACGAGCTACCCATACTGATGTCGTTCTGATTGCCTCTGAGGCTGTGCACAGAACTAATTCCACACTTGTATCTGCACAGGAATTTGGTACGGGATTCTTGAAGGCATCGGAATTCTCTCTGTTATCACCAATGCGTTCGTCATAGCCATCACATCCGACTTCATCCCTCGCTTGGTGTACGCCTACAAGTACGGCCCTTGCGCCGGCCAAGGAGAAGCGGGGCAAAAGTAAGTTTTTTCTGTGAAACAGCTGGGAAATCCCCTGTGCCGGCCACGGAGAGAGAAGCCCTTGCCCTGGGCGTGTAGCTCTCAAGCCTGTAAGGATTGCACACTGTCAGCCCCTAATGTCCTGAGCGCGTCCAGGGGTAGGGCCAGCCCGGCATGTGGTACCAGGCATCGAACCCGTCTCTACTTTTGCTTAAGCAGCTGAGTCCACTAAGCTATCTTGCCAGCCCTAGATGAGAGGTCTTGATTCCTCATTTTTGCCCAATCCCCTCCCCTGCTTCAGCCTCTCTTCACCTTTTTATTTATAAAACTTTGTTTCCATTTTATCCTTCTTTAGTCTTTTGTGCTTTTCCCCTTCCTTCCTTCCTTCCTTCCTTCCTTCCTTCCTTCCTTCCTTCCTTCCGTCCTTCCTCCCCCCTTCCCTAGTTCCTCTTTCCTTTTGAACAATTTCTTTGTATTTCACAGCATCTGTTATATATTTTGGTCCTTATTTACTCTTTCAGCTTCTCAGTGCAAGGAGGGAAACAGCGCAATATTTACACCTGTGTGTCCCACTATCTCACTTAAGAATATGTTCTCAAGGTACATCTTTTTATCCAGAAATGTCTCATGTTTATCTTTCTTTATGGCTGAATAGAACTCCACATATAGAAAAAAAACACATTTTTTAACTCCATTCTTTGGTTGATGGACACGTGGGCTGCTTCCAAGATTTTACTTTTACAAACTGTTCCCGTATAAACATGGGAATGCGTGTATCACTGTGGTATGATGCTTTCCATTTTTCTGGGAATATACCCAGAAGAGGAGTAACTGGATCAAATAAAACCTCTAATTTTAGTTTTTGAAGGGGTCTCCACACTGATTTCCCCCAAGGTTGTACCTGTTCACGCTCTCACCGACAGTGGAGAAGGATTCCTTTTTCCCACAGCCTCTCCAGCATGTTATTGGTTGTTTTCTTGATAATAGCTGTTCTTTCTGGGGTGAGATGGAATCTCAGAGTTGTCTTCGTTTGAAGACTTAGATGTCTAAAGATGGAATGGGATCTAAATTTAGATTTGGATTTGGATTTGGATTTAGGTTTACATTTAGATTTAGATTTAGGTATCTAGGGGTCCAACTGGGGATCACAACGCTGGCCTAGCTATCCAATCATAGCGGTTGTTACCAAACAGTCCTGCCCCTGGTTTAACTGCTCTGAGCTGAGTTCATTTGTCACCTATAACAGGCTCAAAGAGGAAAGTAAATCTAGTTGGATGGGTTAAGCAAACGCTGCCTGCATCTACTTTCATTACTAATCCTGTGCAAACGCACCAAGACAAAGAAGCCTCTATGACATTCTTTCCCATCACCTGGCAACTTTAGGTGAGAACCCCGCACACCACAAGTAAGGAACGTGCAGACGTGGCTTATTCCACCCAAGCATTTCATTCTGGCTGCTGCCAAGGTCAACACCCTCCGCTTGTCTTCACCTTTGCAAGCCGCTTGCGCTTGCGCCACTTCCACAGATGTTCCAGTTGATTCTCAAACCCCCCTGGAGTGGGACGAGCAGTATCACCCTCACTTTGAGGTGGAGCAGGAGAGGATTCAGCAGGGTAAATCCTGAATCTGAGGAGGGAGAGGAGCCCAGAGGAAAGAAAGACAGCAGCGCTCACAGCGAGCGAGCCCAGCGCTCACGCCAACCCCAAGGGCTGCTCAGGCCTGATGCAGGACGGGTCAGACGCCTGGGCTGCGAGTCCCCACAGCTCTTTCAGCTCTTTCCCAACTCCAATTGTGGTGCAAGCTGTCTTGCTTTTATTACTGCACACATGATAAGGAATCAAAGCTTTAGAGTTTTGGCAGCCTGCTAGGTTTAAGACAGTGTTCATGGTGTTTAAAATGCATCCACTAGCCTCATTAATTTAGTCTGATGAACTTTGGAACAGTTATGTTCTTCATAAGCCTTTCTCTGACTTGAGAGTCCTCCGCTACTTTCTGCTTATAGATCTGCCTCTTGTATTTTAATCCACTTGTCTTTTTTTTCTTACTTTCAAAGAAAAAGTAAGTTTTTTCATGAATCTTATTTTCTGCCCCAGTAACAGCTCTATTACTTTGCAGGGTTCTTTTCTTGTTTTTCCAATTCAGAAATGCCTTAGAGATGATTGAACTTGTGGAGCAGTAGCCTCGTCCGGTCTGAGAAGGTCAGAGGCTTTTGGAGTAGGATGTGTGGTTGTGGTCAAACCCTAGTTAGGACTGAATCCAGCGGTGGCAGCACCATACTACAATTTCAAGCAAAGCAAAAACGGAAGTGGCCGTCCAAACCAACCACCCCGCCTCTCTCCAGGAGTCCAGGCTGTGTCAGCGCCGTCTCCCTACTGTCCTTGCAGCTGTCCCTGCTTCTTCGTGAATGACAATGCCAAGCACCGTCCACACCCCCTGGGCACATTCAGCCTGCCTCACACCCCTCGTGGCTGCCACACACGTTTCCCCCAACCAGAGGGCAAGCCACGTGAGGCACAGGAGCACCCCTCTTATACTCAGGAATTCTGTACTCCTGCATGTACCCGGCTCTTCATGGCGCACCGCAGGAGGCAACCTCATTTTTCATCCAGCTCCAAAATAGAAGAAATGGCGGGGGGCAATGTTTTCTACACACTCATGCACAAGACTTTTCATGTGTTTTTATTCTTGGAGCTCCTGTCTTTTCTGCAGCTGTAGCTTGACAGCGTAAATCCTGGACCTTAGGCTGATCATTGTTCGCAAAAGGAGGTCACCTCTTTTTTCAAGGTGCCTTCACAGTTGCAGGCTTGGATATGAGCTTGGAAACTGGACAGGCATCAACAGACAAAAAAGAGGAAATATACCTGAAAATGTATACTATGCAGTCACTCTCCCTCTCTGGATTTAAGTTTTAATTTCAACAGACTAAATATTCTGCAATCTGCACAAATAGTCAGTTTGATTCCCCTCCCCATATGATACACTCATTACTTCTTATGAAGGAGACGCAGGCTGGAGTCTTGTGGAACCTTCTAGAAGGTTATATGCTAGTCTTAGAACTATCATGAGGTATACAGCTAAAACTGTGCCCTTGGTTAGTGATACAAATGAACACTGATTTCCTGTGGTATCCTAAAGAGTTAGAGCCTTGACAAGGAAGGACCTGTGCTCAAATTTCCATAGGACTAAACACAAATACCTTGCTTAATGAATAATAATCAGTGTATTTGTACCTACTCCAAATCACCTAATTAGGGTGGTCACATCATGGCTTGCAAAGTTGCATTCTAAAAACTAAAGTTGACGGCTGAGCCTGGTGGCACATGCCTGTAACGCGAGCACTCTGAAGCCTAAGGCAGGCCAATTCCTAGCTCCAGCCCAGCCTGGCCAACTTAAGAAGACTATCTCAGAATAAAAGCTAAGAAGGGGTATGGATGTAGCTCAGTACAAGGGCCTTTTGGGTCCAATCCCCAGAACACCCCAAAATAAAATAAAATAATAAAATACAAAGTGCACTGTCCTGAGGTCCCAGCAATGGGTCGTAATACTTGACACTTTTCTTGCAACAAGTCAGAAGCCCACTTTTTTCTGTCCTCATTCACTACCCTGGAAAACCTGATCAATCTACATTGGACTTTACATGCATAAACCCAGTCTTTCTTCCACTAGTGTTTTTGTCAGCCTTTGTTCCTTCCCCAAGGCTGTTGACCACACAATACCTAAAATTCAGTGGCAAATTTCGTGACATAATCCAAAGACATTCTGCAGTGAGTTTGATTTGAAATCCACAATCTCAGACATTACTTCCGGTCTGCTCTTTCTCTTCAACCTGGTGACAGTTATCATTGGTCTGTCCCTTTCTCTTGTGTTTAAAGGATTAGGAACAATAAGTAGTTATGACTCTTTTTAAAATCAGAACACATGAGCTGAGGAGACAGTTCGGCAGTCTAAGCACCTGTCTGGCAAGCTCAAGGACCTGGGTTCCATCTCTGGTACCACATGCCATGCTGGCCACTGAGACTGGGTGCGGTGGTGCACACCTGTAATCCCATCACTGGGGAGGCTGAGACAGGAGGCTCACTACAAGTCTGAACTTCACAATGAGACCTTGTACCAAATAAATAAATACATACATAATGGAATACTCTAAAAACATAGAATAAAATCAGAACACTTAGATGAATGTGACAGTCCCAGAAGTTACTTAAAATAAATATATTTCCTGACCCAAATAGTGTTACTCTTCCACGAGACACTTTCTGAATCTTCTTTCTTGGTGATACCTCCAGAGGCCACCTTGGCTTTAAAGTCAAATTGACTAAAACATTATGCTCACAGGCCACCCGCCCTCTGCCTGATACTTTCTCCCTCTCCGTTCTCCTTAATTCTCAGGCAGCCCCATCTTCCCTCTGTGTCCTTTGGAGGTGGCAGAGCGGAAGGGGAGTACATAGAGCCTTTGTCATTAAACCAAGGGGTAGACCTGAGATCTGCTGCTGGATGTGCCCTCCTCCTGCAGCAGTCGCTCAGGACGTGGACATGCAGATGCCCCTCTGCTGTGAAGCACAGGAACCCCCATTTTCCTAAATCAGAGGTCAGATGTTGCCAAAAGCCAGGGTCCTACCACAGTGAAAAGAGTGCGTGGGACCCCTGGGAAGGTCGGCATCACAGTGCTCCGTCACTGCCCTTGGAAACGCTATGGAGAGAAGACTCTCGCAGCCCTCTGGCTCTGTGTACGAGGTCCGTACTTACTTCTTTGCATCCAGATGGTGTAGCGACCACGAAGACTCTGGCCATGTGGATCTATGGCTGGAATTACATGGAATGCTTAAAAAGCAGGTTCACAGAGTTATCCTGCATCATTGTTGTGGGGCACGGTGAGTGGAGCCAACAAAGCAGGCATGTGATGCATTTTAGATTTTGCCCATGGAGTTTCTGAACACAGCAACTAATGGATCATGGCTTGATGGTACGCAGACCTCGGGGCCGCACTATCACAAGGATCACACTTCCTGCTACTTCTTCCATCGGGCTGCAGGCTTTCTCTTTTCCTTCTGTTGCAGTCCTGTGAGGCTTCCTCAGGAATCAGTATGTCATGGATACAGGGTCCCAGGGTGTGACAAGTGACAGTCACCATGGTGGTGATTTGGTCTTTGTCACGTTCCCTTGGTCCATAGATGATATTCTGTTGTCCCCAGTTGCCCTATCCAGGACAGGGAGAAGGGTCCAGGCCTTTGCTCAACTAGCAGTGACTGGACCAGTGGCTCAGTGGCTCCGTTCTTGTTTTAACTATCTCAAGGCCAGGGCAAGGCCTGGGATCTGCCTTCAGCCCAGCAGGGTCCCTGTGCCCTCAGAACTATTGGCACTATCATTTTGGCTTAATGTCCCACAGCCTGGGGTTGGCCTGTCAGAGATATGAAGGAAGGGAATTGGAAGTTGTGGCTTCTTGACTCAGTCAGTAATTATTATACGGCCCTCCTGCTAGATGCGAGGAAAAAATAAAATGAGTAATTCCATTCAGATGTATCTTGGGATAGGCTAAGTACTGATTGCATGCTGTGAATGCCTCACGTCAGCCTACAGTGAGGACCTCAGGAAGCAGGTGCCATTGTGGCTTAAAGCAGTCACTTAGGGCTGGGGGCGCAGCTTAATGGCAGAGCACTTACCCAGCAAGTGCGAGGCCCTGGGTTTGATCCCCAGCACCATCAAAGGAACAGTAGTTGCATAACTTGCCAAGATTGTAAGTGAGAAAGTGCAAGATCTAAGATTTAACCCGGAGTCTAAGCTTGTAGTAGTCTGCTATACGTCCTCCCATGGGGCAATCCGCTGCTCACAATGCTTGACCCCTGGGGTGGCGCCTGTGCGCTCCTGGCCTATTCAGCAGGATGCTCTGCATAGAAAACACGGCGTACATGGAAACGTAAAAGAGACAGCTCTGGAAGTGCTGTGTGTGACATCATTTCGCTAACTGGATGTGTTGACCCTTGTAGATCTTTTTTCAAAGAATATAATATAATGATAAAAAAAAGACCAGCATTAAAAATAAGACAAGATTTCACTGAACTTGAATTTCTTATAATTTCTTTGTTATTGTCTTTTCTTTAAATGAATTTTACACATTTATATCTGGTAATCTGAGCAACTAATTTGTAAATCACTTTTTAAATCACATGCATAAAGATTTCCAAGAGTGCTGCTTCGTGTCAGACTTCTGACACGTGCTATGTATTGAACAGGTGCGCTGCCAGAGTGGAGGCTGCAATCAATGATTCTGTCTGCATTTCAGCTTAGAGGGCAGCATCGCTGATGCCTTCACTTTCCCCCAAGCCAGTCAGCCAAGATCCGTGTAACTGGGCTCCTCCATGGCCCGGGACTTTAAAGGTCTTGGAATGCAGCAGCAGCTAGGAAACCTGCTCTGTTCCCCAGAAGCTACGGTCCCAAGGACAGCAGGAAGTAGGCACCTAGATACAGCGTTTTGCAAGAAGGAAGGAAAGCAAGAGATAGGAGGAGGAGGAGGAGGCAGGAGGGGAAGGGGACGGAAGGAGGAAGATGAGCACCGTGCACGCTCCGGCCCCCACCAGGAGTGCGGCCCCGATGCACCTGTGCAAAGAAGAGCAAATGAATAGAGGCTGAGCAGAGACAGGAAGCACACGGCACAATCCCGGTGCAGCATGAGTGAGCCTGAGATACAGGCTGAGGAGGGGGCTTGAATCATATTCAGGCATTTTGAAAGTTTCTTGGTTTCTAACGGAGGAATAGGGCCAGCAAGCTGCTCAGCAGACTAAGTGCCTGCATAAGCAAGTGCAGGGATCGGGGTTCGGTTCCCAGCACCACATGCCGCGCCGGCCCTGTCCCTGAGTGCACTGGGCTGACCACCAAGGCCAGGCGTGGTGGCGCATGCCTGTAATTCCTGCACTGGGAAGGCTGAAAACAGGAGGATCACTGTGAGTTCAAGTTGCATAGTGAGAGCCTGTGCAAAATACATTTTAAAAAATCTAATGAAGGAATATTGTGTGTGGGGTGTGTGTGTGTGTGTGTGTGTGTGTGTGTGTGTGTGTGTGATGAAAGGGACTGTGACAGGCTCATAACCCATGCCCACCAAGCAGTGCTGTCCTCCACCTAGTTCACCAAAGCCTCACTGGGGGAAGTGATGCTCTGTGCGGGGCTGCGCACAGAAAGAACTGGAGCAAAGGAAGTGGCTTGCTCCAGACTCAGCACGCTCAGCGCCCCTCTGTTTCCCAACTTACATTCCCATGACAAGGTAGGGCTCGCTGAAGGCACTGCTAGGAAGGGGCGTCTTCCAGGAACCGGTGCCAAAAAGGTGGTCAGAGGGCCCGCTACAGAATCTGTGCTCTCCGACAGGTGCATGGTTGGCTACGTGAATGCCAGCTTGTCGGTGTTCCGAATTTCTGACTTTGAGAACCGGTCGGAACCTGAGTCTGATGGCAGCGAGTTCTCCGGGACTCCCCTCAAGTACTGCAGGTAAGATCGGGTCTCTAAGGGTGGTTCTGCCAGCTCTATCATGGGGAGGTTTTGCTGACAGTGGCTCCTGCTGACTGGGTTTAAAGTAGTGATTTTCAACCTTGACAGTGGGGAATTTTACAGTGTTCTTCTACTTGGGAAGAACAACCCAGACCAGCGAAGACAGACTCTCAGACAGCAGTATGGCTCAAGAGCCCCAGGTACAAAGTTGACAGCCACTGGCTGAGAGAGAAAACTGAGAACGCCATGACCAAGGGTCATACGCGTGGCTCAGGGGTTCAGGCAGCCCGAGTGACAGTGGTTGAAGGCAGCTGTCATGGTCCTACTCCCCTCTTTTGCCCATCCCTCTCCACGTGTTCAGCAACTCAGAGATGGGCTGAGCCCCAAGTGCCTCGGATTCTACCCCACTGGCCTCCACAGCCTTCGCTTGACTTCAGTTGTCCCTCCCTCCGAGGGGGAATTTCACCTGCTTCTGGATGTTTAATAGTTTATGAAGGGCTGGAGAGATAGCTCAGCAGTCTAAGCAGCTGCCTGGCAAGAGCAAGGACCCGAGTTCGATCCCTGGTACCACATGCCGTGCCAGCCCCGGAGCCCTGGGAGCCCCAGGTCCACCAACAAATCCAGGTAGGGGAGCGCACACCTGCAATCCCAGCACCAGGGAGGCTGAGACTGGAGGATCACTACGAGTCCAAGCTGCGTAGCAAGACCCTGTACCAAATCAATAAATGAATAAATAAGCAGTTTATGAAGAAGGGCTAGTGTCTGGCAGGAAATGCTACTTTATGCAACAATCACAGCAGCCTTCTAAGGTGGGCAGTTTATCCCATCTGACAGCTAAAACCATTCACCAGAGCTCAGTGAAGTTACTGTGTACAAGACGTGGGCCTGATGCAGTCGTTCCTTCCACTAAAGAGACAGGCAGGAGCAGACGCGGACTTCAAGACTCCAGCTTCCATCCGTGTCCTTGGAAGTAGCTTCACTCGGAGAGGCTGGCCACAGTGGCTCTGGAACCCCAGCAGGTGCTCTCTGGCATTGGTGAGCGATGCCTGCAGATAGGAATTTTCAGCTGAGCCAAAACCAGATCGTGCTGTTTAAGTTAACTTTGCCAGAAATATAGCTCAGCGGCGTAAGCACCTGCCTGGTGAGTGCAAGGTCCTGAGTTCAATCCCCAGTACTAAAAAAAAAAAAAAAAAGTTCACCTCTTAGCTACTCACTACACAACAACAGAGCGCCCCTTTCACTTCGCCCCTGTCTTTGTTTCTTCAGAGAAGTGAGCCGTGGAGTAGAAACTCAATGAATGACAGAGGCTCAGGCCCGCTCGCTTAGCCCCAGGCTGAGAAGTGAGGCCCTTGACAGCAGAAGCTGGCTGGGTGGTGAGGACAGAGCTGTGGGAGCCCCCTCCACGCCCCCGGACACACCCAGCTCCCAGAAGGCAGGGGCCCACTGTCCGCCCCGTGACCATGTCCATAGAGGGCCAGGCTCGTCAGGTGGCTCACTTCCTCCACGAGGACATGCAGTCAGATGAGGAGAGTGCAGCCCACAGAGCCCCAGGGAGGCTCAGGGCTGCTAAGCAACCACGTGACACACTCAGCCCTTCGTCCCTTGTGCAAGCACCGCAGGAGGCACACTGGCCAACCCGTACAAAGTCGTTGCAAAACAAATTTTCTCTGTGGTTTAAAACATTTCTAGGGGCTGAGGAGATAGCTCAGTAGAATAAGTGCTTGCCTGGCAAGCACAAGGGCCTGAGTTCAATCCTCAGTTTTGCAAAAAAACAAACAAACAAAAAATTTAGCCATTAAAAATACAGTACGGGGCCTTTTTCATCATTTGCTTTCTGACTCATAATTCTACTTGCCCCAAACAATAGCATAAAGGCCCATTCCAAAGCTTATTAATGCTAGTGGAACTGTTGGTGCTTGTCATTCGTTGAAATTGTTTTATTTAGTTTTTGCTAAAGTTATTTTTGTAGGTGCTTTACAAATTTTGTTTTGCATTTTTTGAACAAATACATATAATTAACCTATTTTCATCTAAGACATCTATTTTGCCACCTGATGCTGCCCCCAAGGCAAATAATGGGCCTGGTAATTTGAAATAATTCCCTCAGCTAGAGTAATAGTAAATACATTTTGAATGTGTATAAAATAATAACTATTGTGATAAACTTTACATAATATGTCTTCATATTGGTCGGCATTTAAAAATGCAGTGGACTTTTAATTTTTAAATTCAATTAATTTTATTGCTACATTTTAGATACCCATAATGATCACATCCATCACAGGGAATTTGTACCTGTATGTGACACATCCTGCTGTTCTTTTCCCCAGGCCTCTCCCCTCCCTTTAATCTCTCTGCCCCTCCTTATTCACAAACTTTGTTTCCATTTTTTTCTTTTGCTTTCCTCCCTTTCCCCCTCCTCCCTCCCTAGTTCCCTTCTCCTTTTGAATGATTTCTTCCTGTTTCACAACAGCTATTGTATATTTTAGTTCTTATTTACACTTTCAGTTTCTCACACCAAGGAGATAATGTGACATTTACACAGGTGTGTCTGATTTGTGTCACTTACAATTATGATCTCAAGCTCCATCCATTTAGTTATAAATGTCCCAAATCCATCTTTCTTTATGGCTGAGTAGTACTTCATTATATAAAAGCAAACATATTCTTTTTTTATTGATTCCTTGGTTGATGGGCATTTGGGCTGTTTCCAAGATTTAGCTATGACAAATTGTGCTGCTATAGATGTGGGTGCGCGTATGTCACTGTGGCATGATGCTTTTAATTGTTTGGGGAATAAACCAAGAAAGGGAACAGCTGGGTTCAATGGAGACTCTAAAGTCCTAGTGTTTTGAAGACTCTCCACGCTGATTTCCACGGTGGTCACACCAACCTACATTCCCACCAACAGTGGAGAAGGGTTTCTTTTCCCCTCCAGCCCTCCAGCATTCATTGTCAGTTGTTTTCTTGCTGATAGCCACTCTCTCCTAAGTGAGCTGGAATCTCAGCACTGGATAAATTTTTTTTTTATTTCTCATTAACTTCATTGAAAATCAATAATTATATAGCATATTAAAAATTGTGGACAAATACTGAAATGTAAAAGATATAAGATGTAGACAGTGAATTTTAGAGAAATATTTCTGAAATGAATACATAGCATGAGATTAAAAATAGATTGCACATTGTAAAGAAGTGTTGATTATATATTTGCCATTCCAGTATTTATGTTATGTTTTATTCTTAGTAATTCTTTACTATCATGAAAACTTTTTCTTAGGTAAATTATTTTGAAATACTTAATTTTTAATTAATTAATATTTAATTAATTTTCTGAATATTGTTTAATCTTAATTTTTTTGGGGGGGAACCAGGGATTGAACTCAAGCCCTTGTGCTTGCCAGGGAAGTGCTTATTTCACTGAGCCAGCTCCCGGGCCCTTAATCTTAATTTTTGTTTTAAGGTTCATACTGTACCTTGACTTACAGTCTACTTATAAGACATGGTATGATATTTTCTCCTAGTATTAGAAACTTTTAGAAGTTTATTTCCTTTTTTCCATTGACTTTATATTACTTCTTTCTTGTCTTTTACACATACCCACACCCACACCCACCCACACACACATATATATGAAAAAATATGTATATTACCCAACACAAGATTGATACTGTTTTGTAGAAATCTTTAATGACCTTTTAAATGGGTTCATCTAATATATTTTACATAGTCCTGCATAACTACCATTTTGAGAGCTCTTTATTCTTTACCCAGGACCACACAGCAACTTCTCTTGCCTTCTGGATTATGCTCTTTGTTAGTTTCTATATGCTCCATCTGAACGTATTGGATAAAATTTTTAAAACATCTCAAATGCATGAGCTGCCTGAGAAGGAGAGTTGGCATTCCAAAGCCAAACTAAAGGAAGGCAGAGCCCAGAGTCGTACGTAGGCTTGCAGCCAACTTTCGCTACACGGGCTCCAGCTGTGTTTTTTAAGGCTTCCCAAGTTAGAAAAGCTTAAAGAAAATATAGAGCATAAGTAAATCTAAATACGTTCTACATAAACCAACTATACCATATCTACACCAGAGCCTGTTGTACACAGTGAGACTAGATTAACCACAGGTGAGCATGAATGGAGTTCACAAGATACTGAAGAAAAGCCAGCCCCAGAAGACCAGGTCGAACCTTTCATCAAGTTCGAAACCAAAGCTATACATTAGAGCATTCAGATAAGTATATATCTGTATATGTGAATAAGTGTATTAGTGATAAAAATTAAATTCGAGAGAGGGGATGCAGGAGATGGAGAGCTAGGAGGGACACCGAAGAGATATAAATTTCCAGTAGTATTCTTGAGCTTCTTACTGGATTTGTGAGAGTTCTTTGTATTAGGAAAGTATTAAATAAATAACATAAAGGTTAGTTAAAACAGGATCTTGAGTGGCCAATCCAATGGTCATAAAAGAACCATGATTAGACCAATTCTTACACCCCAGAACCAAAACAATGTGTCGAAATGCAAGGGGTAAAGAACGATCAACATGCCCTTGAGGAAGAACCATGCGGGGGGCAGGTGGACACAGGATGAAACCAGGGTGGAGATAGCACATGACCAGACAAAGAAAATGGAATAGCACTGAGGACCCAATGATCAATTGCACAATAACTAAAGACACAATCATAGAAAAATACATGCAATATGGTTCTGTTTGTGTAGTGTTCAAAGCATAAAAACTAAGCCCTTTTATTTAGGAAAAAAAGTAGGTGGAAAACTCTAAAAACAAGTAGGCGGTAAAACTCTAAAGAAAGGCAAGGTCATTTCCATAGAAGGCCTGGCCACTTGCAATGGCTGGGGATGACAGCGCGGTCCTTCGACACCCTTGATCGTGTTCTGGTTCTTGACTTGGGTAAGGGTTAGTGATGTTCGCCGAGCTCTCCTTCAAATGTGCATCTACTTTTACTTCCCAGCTTAAAATGGCAATGAAGTAACTGTAACTGGTGGTAGAAAAATTATGTTTGCAGGCTCAAGAAACAAGGAAGCTTCAGGAAGTACACTACCTTAAGCCAAAATGAATATTCTGGCTTCCTATGTGTACAACTGAAGCCAAGAATTTAAAGGTATCACCTTCGGAAAACAACTCTGAGACACTTGGGAAATTTTCCTCCAAACACTGATGTCACTGGACCACATGATGTCTTTGAAGACTAGAGGAATGAAACTTTGATTTTTATTGGCTTAAAGACTGGGCTTCATGGCTGTTTCTACAGTAGCAAAGGAAATGTTTTCACTGTACAAGTGTCAGAGAGCAAACAGCCTGTCATCTTGCAAATAAACAGCACCACATCAAAGGCAGAGAAATGGGGCTGGGTGCAGCTCAGGGTGGAATGCGAGAGCTTAGCCTGCAGGAGGACCTGCACGCAAGCCCTGGCGCTCACCACCAATGGTGAGGGTGTGAGCCTGTCCAGTCCTCCCCTCGTGGAAGAGACCAGTAGGGCCAGGGGCGGCTGGAGAACTGAGAGCATCGCAGTGATCATCTGACCCCAACAGAAGAAAACAGGAGTCCAGTGTCTTACAGGAAGGTGAGACAGACAGACTGTGATGTCGCTGAGGAGGAAAATTGGTATCTGCAAAAGGATTTTCAGCTGCAGTGAGCACTGTGTTATGAAAATTTTAAGGAGTAAGTGAAGATGACTCTGGAAGTAGTTTGAGGTCCCTCCTATTATGAATGTACAATGTAATAGTCAGCCATATGTATGATAAAAGCATATTACTAGTTTTCTTCTAGAATATTTAAGTGGACCATTGTTGTGGTTTGAGGTTTTTTCAAGAGGACCAATACAATATGGACACATATTTTATAAGATTATTTTATAATGAATCCCCCAAAGAATCATACAAGAGTGCAGGAAATCTGTCCATGTGCTAAAGACCTCATAATCCACCTGAGGGCCTGGATCCCAATGTCCTGCATGAATCCAGCTGAAGACCTAGAGCCCATAGCAATGCCTCCCACAAGTCCAGCTGGAGGCCTAGAGCCCACAGCGTCTCATGCAGGCCCATGTCATGGATCTGTGCTGGGAAGGCCCAAAGGTCAGCGGTGGAAGCTAGAAAGTCTGTGCCAGCGGGGTGAAGGATCTGTGCCAGCAGGCTGTGGGATCTGCCCTGGAACCAGGCAGCAATGCTCAGTCTAAGATCCAGAGCTCCGTGGAAGGGTACCACAGCCATCCTCAGCAACACTGAGGTCCTGAGCTCCCCTGATGATCAGGACAGCTGAGTTCCCTTCAGGAAAGCCAACATGACAAGCCTTTGAGCAGAGCACGATCTTCTGTGATGCTCAAGGTGAGGACCAGAGGTCCCCCAAAATGATCCCTAGCCATTCACAGCTACAACAAGGTCCTGAGCCCCTCCTCTAGCAAGAACAGCCAAGGTCACCAGGAAAGCCATCATGACAAAGTCCCTTAGCAGAATAGCCCAAGAGAACCGGTAGCCTCCAACAGCTCCTCCAGCTTCTCCAAACAGCTTCCCTTACAGCCTCCCAGCAGCTTCTCCCATTCTGCCTCTTAGGCTGCTGGCAGCCAGCCTCAGCCGGGCCTCCCACACCCAGCACCACGCTAGTTCAGTTCAGCTGGGTGTAACAAGTGGACCACCAATTAGCAACCCACTACAGCCCTATCTGAAATATATGAAGATGAGGAGAGGAATTATGACTTTTATCTTGCTTGCAGAAAACACAATTCTTGGTGATTGACTAGCTGCTCTCTGCAGAAAGAGAACAAAGGTAGAATAATCCTTGGAAGCTGTTAGTGCTGAACAAAATTCTTCTTCCTAAATTCTATGCATCATTATAGGATTTGTGACAGAAACAGATTGTATCTAATAGACGGAGCCATGTCTTGGCGGACTGCCTAACCCTCATCTCCACAGAGAGGACAGAGTAGCAAAGCACACTCACTGATTCATTCTTAAGCTCAGGGCCAGGTATTAATCATAAATATCACTCTAATGACTAATGACGATCCATCCTTACTGCACATCTGTAGACACTAATCCTAATGAAGATGAGGGTTCCGATGCTAGTAATGAGGTCAGCTCATTTTGTAGTCCTTGATACATCCCAGGGGCCGCTCAGAGGTAATTATTCTGTGTCCTCATATGCAAATCAGTGCTGACCTTGAGGTTAGATGCTATTCTACTGAATTGTCATGACCTTTATTTAGATAAGGGAATTTGATATATGTACAAAGCAAGAATATTTGAATAGCCCGCTTAGTAGTTATGCAGCATTCTAAATCTCTGGGCCTAATGAAAAGGATGTTGGGTTCAAACTCTGTGGAAACACTGGGAAGCCACTTTTCAGTTTTCTCAGCTGTGACAATACTGGTGACCATGGTAAGGAATGACAGGGATTAAAGTCCTTAGCACAATGCCTGACTCCAGGTAAGTGCTCAACCAACCTCTGTTGAACTGGACGCTGACTCCACACGCACGGCCGGGGGAGATGCTAGCAAGCGCTCTTTAGTGGCAGGCATCCACTGTAAAGAGACAAGAAAAGAACTGTACTGGTTCAAGTGAACCAAGGGACAATGTGAGTTTTCATAAAATGTGCCTTCCAAGGCTGAAGCTGGGTCAGCCCAACCCCGCCATCTCTTTACCACCTCTGTCGGGTCCCCTTCCATGTCCTCAAGCGCATGATCTCTCTGCCTCCAGTTTTCAGTGGCCACCAGCTTTGCCAGGCTTTTCCCTTCTGTGGGCTTGTGATAGTTCATTAGCAATCTATGAGGTGTTGTGACAGTGAGCCTCACGCGTCACGTCTGGCTCACCTTTGGAGCTAAGTTCAGGGAGGAAGTGAGCCAGCGCCAACCCCTGCAGAGGAATCTCCAGAGGAAAGAGCTGCTGTTAGCAGAAAGAAGAGATGCTGGGCAAACCAAGCAACCACTCTCTAGCATAGCGGAACTTCCCAAACCTCATTCTACAAAGATGGACTGCCTGCTGGGACTGGAAGAGCTCTGAGGGTTAGAAAACTCCTGCCACATTCTCGTGTGTCTTTGCAGATACCGAGACTACCGCGACTCTCCGCACGCACTGGTGCCCTACGGCTACACGCTGCAGTTCTGGCACGTGCTTGCAGCCCGGCTGGCTTTCATCATCGTGTTCGAGGTAAGTCCCCTCAGCCACTTCCTCTGTTTCCTTTGACATGATCGAGTCACTGGGAATAACGACTAAGAATCAAGTGTTGAGCACTTCCGCTGTGATAATCTGCTTGCGGAAGCACAGGGCCACGTTGTCACCTCTCGGGTGTCTGGTCTTCCTTCACCTTAACTGAAGCATTTGAGGTCTTGGGAGGCCTACAGGTATAGACAGAGCAGAGGGTAGGATGCAAAAGGGAAGTGAGAAAGATCAGGGTGAGATATTTACATATACATATCACTACCCCGCAAGGAGTGTATTGATTGTATATCACAAACACATACTAACAAAAGGAGGGGAAATAAATATATTTGAAAGTCTGCTGTTGAGTGTTAATGGACAAATCAGGAATCATTGGTCCTCAGTGTAATACCATAGAGCCCTGGTGCTCAAATGCTATGGGAACTGCAGCTTTCCCTTCCCTGCCCCTCAAGATACTGCACATCCTGTTTGTGACGTGCTTTGCACAAGGCCCCTGATGTGGTTCTCATGTGGGTGCTCAAGGACCAGAATTTGGAAAACACTAAATTGCATATTGCAAGAGTTACTTGTACTTGTGTATCGTTGGGACCTTACTTATAGTCAAGCACACAGAGAGGTAAATCCATTACTCAAAATACACTTATAAAATAAAATCTATCCAGCAGCTACTTATACTGTGTCATTCAAAAATAGATCATCTGTTTCCTTTCTTTTAGAAAATTGCTATGAATTGGTTTGCATTTCTATAACTCATCACACTTGCAAATTCTCTCTGGATTGGAACCAGATTACTGCAAGCAAAGAGGCCTCTTGGCTTGGACCAGAAGTTCCTTAAAACTCTCTGACACTATTTAGTCGTTGCTTTTTTCTTCATTCCGAGGACCTCAGAGAAGATAATATTAAGCTGTTCTTCCCTGGAGATTAGCTTACAATGGCTCAGTGCCCTTTAAAGAAACACTTTTCATTTAACACTGCATTAAATTTTTTCAGACAAAAAGAGGCTCTATTAAGTTATTATCGGGTTTTTCAAGTAGAATGTCCCATTTCTTCTCAGTGACTCTTCTAACGACTATGAAGCACTAGTGATGTGCAGAAAAGCCTCTTAAGTGGCAGTCTCATCTGCCCCTCCCTGGGTTACTTTAAATAAAACAAGGAATGCTTGATACATCACTGAGCACAATTTTACCTTTATTAAATACTTTATAAAGTAAGAGGCTTCTGATTGTCATCTGATACTTTATTGGTCACCAGCATATAAAGGGATGAAAGTGACCATGATCACAGACTTCGAGCTATCTGTATTTCAGGTACAGCATTTGTAGTAGTTTACCAAGAAGAAAATGCTTCTCCCCAGATGACTGTGTCCAAAGGCCCACTGATCATTCTTTAGCAATCTACAAAGCATTTTAACAGATTTTATTGGCATTTTCACAGTAATACCCACATTCTAGGTGAGAATTTGGGGCTCAGAGGAGCTAATGACTTAGTCTCAGGAGCACAGGTCTCCAGAAGTAGCAGCGAGGGAGCTGGTCTTCGCACGAGGGCTCCTGATTTCATGGCACAGGTCCTTGCCATCTCCCTGCATCCTTGGCCACCCCCTGCTTACCCTCACCCATCTTGTCTTCCTCTCCCCTGGGTGGCACCTTGGACCTGTTCAGTTCTCGCCACCCACTGTCGTTTTGTCACTTGCACCCCCATCCAGTTCCCCTTGCACCACAGAGGCTCCACGTCTCCCCTCTTGCCAACCCCCGAAGTCCCTTGGCAAATGATGGTGACAGACCTGACTTTGTTCTTCTCCTCTGCTGCCCTTAGCACCTCGTGTTTTGTATAAAACACCTCATTTCCTACCTGATCCCTGACCTCCCAAAAGACCTAAGGGACCGAATGAGGAGAGAGAAGTACTTGATTCAGGAGATGATGTACGAGGCCGAACTGGAGCGCCTTCAGAAGGAGCGGAAGGAGAGGAAGAAGAACGGAAAAGCACACCACAATGAGTGGCCATGATCAGGTAGGGAGGTGTGTGCCCACCCCACAGCCACGTCGTGCTGGGGCTGCGACTTTACTCGCTCCAAAATAGGGCTCCGCTTTGTTCCAGTAGTAGGACCAAAACAGATTCCTTAGAAGCTTCCACAACCAATTGATGTCTTCTTTAAAAAAAAATAATAATAATCTTTTGTTTATTTATTTGGTACAGGGTCTCTCTTCGAAGCTAGGACTTAGAGTGATCCTCCTATCTCAGCCTCCCCAGTGCTGAGATTACAGATGTGTACCACCACGCCCCGTTTCTGTGGCCAGCCCTGCATGCCTGGGATTCTGGGGCCACACAGCATGCGGTACTGGAAGTTGAACCCAGGTCCTTGCACTTGCCAGGCAGGCACTTAGACCATGGGGCTACCTCCCCTGCTTTCGTGTTTAAAAATTGCATCTCGATCTTCCCCTCCAAAACCGACTGGTTTCTTCTTTAATAATCGCTCCCTGTGGTGGCCCGCGCCTATAATCCCAGCTCTTGGGAGGCTGTTAACAGGCAGGTCACTATGAGTCTGATCTAGTAGTGAGACCCTGAACACCCTGTAGACCCTTCCCTAAAAAATATAAAAACAAAAATAATAAATAAAAAAATAATAATAATTGCTCCCTCTTGCACACACTTCCTGCCCCTCATCTCTGCCTCCCTGCCAGACAGCAGCCCGGAGTGGAGTCTTCATGAGGAGGCCCAGGTATCACTGGAATGGCCCTCCCTCTCCCTTCTACTCCAGCCAAGCTGCTTGCTTTAGTGCCCTCAGTACCCAGGGCGTTATGCTCTTGCTTGGAAGTCAGCATTCTCTCCACTCACCCAACGTGGCCTGGCCTCTGCCACCCTGTTTCCTCCCAGCACTGTCCATGGCATGCCACAGCCTCTCGGAAGGTCCTCTCCCACATGCTCACCGCCCTGGGAGACTTAACTCCTAAGCTTCTCTGTTTACTGCCAGCAGAACCACGCAGATTGCAATATACTGATTTGTTTTTTTAATAGCTTAATGTTTTTTAGGTTTTTTTTTTCTTTTCATAACCAAGGATTGAACTCAGGCCCTTGTGCTTGCCAGGCAAGCACTTATTCTACTGAGCTATCTCCCCGACCCCTAAAGAGTTTCATTAATTTTTTTTTTTGGGCGGGGGCAGAACCGGGGATTGAACTCAGGCCTTTGCGCTTGCCAGGGAAGTGCTTATTCCACTGAGCCATCTCCCTAGCTCTGATTTGTTTTTTTAATGTGTGATCTTCAAATAGTTAGTAGGCTTCTTCAACACAGCTGTAAACATCTTTAGAAATAAGAAATAATCCAGACCCCAAGCCCACAGGAATAAAACTGGGAGATAGGTATTGAACACTAGCCTTATCCAGTCTTAATCTTAATCCAAAGTCCAAGTAGGCTTTGGATTCACTGACAGCAAGAAATATGTTGCTACTTAGTGATCTTAGCATTTCCCAGAGCTGCTCTTTGGCTATGGGGGAAGTACTTAACTTTTCTGCCTATTGGACAGAATTCATGTGCAGCTCAAATAAGATAGTGTGTGGGAGACATTTACTAACCAGTAAAGGGCTCTGTATCATGGCAAAGTGTCTTGCTGCACTTTGCCTGGCGCTGTACCTGGCGTTTCCACTCTCTATCTATGTGACCTGGCCCTGAGCAGTCACATAGACTCCGTCTTTGCATTTGCAAAAGTAAAGAAGTGGTACCAGGCCTCACTGTAGGCAATGTGCTGGCTTTAACCTTCTAGGATTCTGGGTTTGACCCAAGCCTGTAGGCCCCTGCCTCTTCTGGTCACCTCGCCTCTGGCTGTGGCCACTCAGGAGGAGAAAGGCTGACTGGATCCAGACAGCACTGGGTGGAGGAGGATGCAAACATCGCCAAAGGGATTTGCTCCTGACAGCTCCAGTGGTCAGGGACCAAGGTGCAGTTGGGTGGCCTTGCCCACCCTTGGGGCTTCCTTGGCTACAAGTCAGGCACCTGATTTTCAGCGTTCCTTCTGGCTTTCTTCCCAAAGGAACCACTTCTTGTTTCTGGTTGAAGTGTAGCATTTGTCTTTCTCTGTCCCCACCACAGTTGGCAGAGTGTCTCATTGCTTCGGGGTGCCTCTCTGACTCGGTCGGCTCCTCTATAAGGTGTGCACAATAATGTTTCTAGGTGCCCTACCTGACCGACTCCTGCATACCTTCGATGCCTGGTAAGTAGCTGTTAAGCCATCCTCTGACCATAAGATCTTCATGCCTTCTTTTCTCTTTCCAGGTAATAGCTCATGTCCAGGCCAAGGACCTGAATTTTGTTTACTTCTCCTGGCTGTGCAAAAAAGCACATTCAAGTGAATGATACACACACAAAAATGCAACCACAGTGCATGTTGCAGACTCAGGCAGCTGCAGGCAGGTCAGCGCCCAGCCCGGGCTGGAGGTGGAGTCGCTGCTGTGGAGATGCGTGGCAGCCCGGCCCACAACCGCTATGTATCCATAGACCACTCCTGACCAAGCAAGCATGCACGTTACGGGCAGTTCCATTCTCACGTTTTTAAAACTAAGGGGAACTTGTATACTGGGCCTGTTTTTCAGCCTGTTTGCTACCTTTTTTTGCATTCTGTCCCATGTGAATTTTACAGACACTGGGCTAAAAAGAGTTTTGGACACCTGGACACACATTCCTGGAATGTCATCTTATGGTCCTAACTCCATGTCACCAAATGACACAGACAAGATCCTGTTTACAATGACTCTTTTCTTTCCTTTTCTTTTTTAATTTCTGATCTTTCTGAGGAGATGATTCTGTATGACATGTCTATAGCTATGCGTATGGCCATAGATGTATTTCTGTGTGTACATATGTATAGTCATGTATTCTTACATATGTACATACAAATACAGAGATATATAAAGTACATAAAAAACTCCTTACTTGTAAATAGCCAAAAGGCACTGACATGAATGACAAATTTTCACACTTAGTCATCAACATGAAGCCATGTTTAATGCTTGTATAATGTGATGCAATAAAATTTAAAATAAATTTATGCACATGAAATATTCTCAGCTGGCTCTCCTGAAATGTGGTTGCATTTTCATCCCATAGGATAAGGGGGATGATCGCAGCATGGGGCCTTTAATGCCAGGTTTGTCACTCCCACACACTCTCAAGAAAGTACTTCGCCCTGCAGAGAAACTGTGCTTTTCTTCCCCACCCACCTTTCCTGGCTTCCGTGCTACCTTCCTGGGGGAACCAAGCAGGTGATAAGACATCACTGTGAAGAGCTTGCAAAGGGTCATTAGCGCAGCCTGTACTGTGCAGCATAATCATCGAGGTTTACAGCACTTTTATGCCTCTGCCTGTTGGTATGTTCTGCTCATTCTGCAGAGGAGGCTCTCTTGGTCTTGGGAGAGGGGACATGTATGTTCATGTATGTTGTAATTAATCTTGCTGAGACAGAATGTGTCTTTTAAAAAATATGTATCAGGTATGCAACAAGATATATACATATATAGTGAAATGTATATATACAGTAAAATGTGTGTATACATACAGAGAAATGTGTATATATAGTGAATTACATATACATACAGTGAAATGACTGTTATAGTCAAGTACATTTATGTATAGTGAAATGATTACTGAAATCAAGTACATGCATACTTATTAGTCCATTTTCTGTAATCATAACAAAATACCCGAGGCTGGATACTTTATAAAGAAAAGTTTAGCTCACAACTTGGGAGGCAGAAAGGTTAAGATGTGGCAGTCCCACCTTTGATCCTCTCGTTACAATATGATGTAATGTCTTCTGGTTACTGTATGGATCCCTGTTTACAATATGACATGGCAGAGAAGAGAAAAGGCAAATAGTCATATGCAGAAGGAGGAGAGAGTTCATGGGAAACCTGAGAGATTCAGGAATCAGGAGTGCTCCCTGGATACCAGCCCACCCACAATGCCAGGGGTCTCATGGGAAATACATTGTTATCTCCTGGATCACCCAACACCTTTCACTAAGCCCCGCCTCTTAAAGAACCTACCATTCCACACCAACCGGCTGGAGAAGCTTAGAGCACACGAACTTCCAAGGAGACAAACAAGAACCAAAGCGTCACCTTCCTCAGTCAGCCCTGAGTGTGTATGTATGTGAGCTTAACCATACCCGCTGAGATCTGAGAGCGCCTGTGACCGTGTCCATCCAGCACCGGCTCACTTGGGGGTGGATTTAGGGGAGCCCATTCCCAAGGGCCCGGTTGCTCCCCAACAGAGGAACAGTCACGGTGTCTGTTGCTCCCCTTCATCTTCCTTGCTCCCTCTCACCTGACAGTCCAAGGGGTGAAACACTAACCTCTGCTAGCAGGGCCCAGACCAGAAGCATGCACTTCATGGATGCTGAAAGGCCAGAGGGCATTTGTGGAGCTTTGATCTCTGGACAGGAAGTCCGTGGGCTATTTCACACCAGCCCCCAGGAGCAGACTACCCAAAGAGCATCTCAAAATGTGATGCTTCAAGGCCACGACTTGCTGTGCCCCGCAGTAACCCACACTTCCTGTGCCCGATGGTCCACCTGCACCAGGCACAGCCCGCGCTTGGACTCACACAGCCAAGCCGCTCTGCTGCCCCCTAGCGCATGGTCAGCTCAGAGTAAAGCGTGTTCTGTCTCATGGCTCCTTTGTGTCTGGAGCCCTCAAGCTCCGCTCATCTAGCTACTTGTAGAACACACACCAGCTGATTTGTGAACCATCATGCGTGGCTCACAGATGCACACAAGTCCTACACTCCCATCAAGAACTTTTTAGGAAATGCATATGGAGATGGAATGCTAACTAGACCTGACTGTCCTGCACTGTGTGGGCTACTGAATTACCACTTCAGCCCTCAGACATTTAGACCCTTAAAGCAATAACTTTTTAAAACAGCTTTACTGGATGAATGCATACAAAAAAAAAGCCAGCAAAATATTACCATACACTTCTGATTCACTTTTTTCCCTCCATCTTGATAGTTTGAACATTTTTTTGCATTTTTATTTATTTATTTTTATTTGTTTATTTATCTTCCATAATTTTATCGAGAAACAAATAGCAATGAGACAGTTTCAAACCAAATTGGTAGGACAGTTTCAATAATTAACACATTGCATACATTCTTC